GTCATCCTTAACTTTGGCTAAAATCAGTGACTTTGGCCTCTCTCGAGCCCTAGGATTTGACAAAGACTACTACACTGCCAGTGATGGAGGAAAATGGCCACTAAAATGGTAAGTGGCATAATTAGACTCTAAAACTACACAGTGTAGGCAGAATTCAGTAGTGCAGCATATTGTTCTTGCTCACTTTTTTACCATATATACTAAACGTGCTACAGTGTTACTAAAATCTGAGTCTGGCAGTTGCATGTTATAATTTCAAGATGTCTAAAAATAATAAGAATATTTTCATGTTCCATCCTTTTCAAAAGATGGGGTGTTTCTTGACAATTGAGAAATGGGGTTAGCTTGGTTAAGGGCCTTATTTTTAATGTTATGTGGTACCTGCATGCTTTTTTCTTGTATAGGCAGTAGTTCAATTCCTCTTTAATCAAATTCTTCCCTATTTGTAACTCATGCATTAGTCCTCGACACTCCATCATGGACACTGGTTCATTGTGCATGGTTTCTTTGTCCTGGGATTTTCCATGCATTATGTCTGGAGTCTGGCAGCTTCAAGTGCACTGATTGGTTTAATAGGCACATACTCTCTTCCTGCATCCCTGTTCTATGGCTGTTATGTTTTGCAGTTCACTTGTTGCAGGTCATTCAGCACGTAGTAAAGCTTAGTCTGCCCACTTCCTACCCTCATGCCCATAATGTTTGGGGTGTTAATTTTATTTCAGTTCCTTCTTGAACACGACTTCTGTCTTCACCAGTACCTTAGGTTCTGGCACTCAGGTGGAGTGCTGTGAGGCCTCTCTCTCCTTGCTCTATTCTGCCCTCTGCACCAGTGTTTGGCTCTGTGCCCTGTTGTGTCCACTGTCTTGGCTCTTACTTAACCTGGGTCTTGTGCTCTGGCCTTAACCACCGTGCTGTGCCAAGTTTATTATGAAATTCCTCCTGTGCGCATGAAATAAAGTGTTCCCAAAAATTTTCTGTGGGGAGACCCTATGGCTCCCTGGAGCTTATCGAGCTAATGTATGTTATATTAGACAGGGCCATTAGCTAAGGAGTTCAGACCTACCAGGGACCAGTGCCAGAACCTGGCCTCTTCAGAGAGGTTTCAGGGAGCAATGGCCGTGGAAAACCACCTTGTGGTTGGGGTTTTCCTTATCTGCCATCGACCGGGGTTAGCACCCAGAAAGGTAGGCATAACAAAACAAACCCCGATGGTAAAAAACTAAAACAAAAAAACGAACAGAGAGGTAGAAACTTCTTACAATCCCAAGGAAACAAGCAAACATCACACTTTACTGCCGTGCCGATCGTCCTCACTGCCCTCCCCTTCCCGAGAGGGGGAGGGGGGAGCCCCGGACCTACTGCGCCGGCTGCCTAGCATCAGTTCGTAAGCTAATGTGAACCGGGATAGACGCTTCTCTGGCCTCAGTTTCCTAGGTGGTGTTTGCCTTGTGTGGCTTTCACTGCCGTGTGTTGTGGTGTGCGGTAGCCAGGAGTACCTCATCAGTGCCGGGGCTGCATGCGCTTACGGGCTTCCTTCCCTAAGCGCCCTGTGAGTACTGCCCCTGCGTGACAGGGTTATCTTCCAGGGGCGTTCGGGAACCATTCCCGAAGAGGTTCTTGCTGCTCAGCATTTTGCCTCCCCCTTGGGGCCAGCTGGGACTGGGGGCCCTTGTTTGGCCCTGGATAGGGACTGGTATTGTGCTGGTTAGGGCGTCAAGGTGTTGCGCAACCTGCCACCAAGCGGCGACCGGTTCCTGTTGCCTCTGGAGATGGTGTACTTTTGCGGGGGTTTTCTTTTGTTTTTATTTTTCATTTGCCTGGTTGGGGTCTGCCTAGTGTGGCTATAGTTCCACTGGTAGTATTTGGTGGTCCTCTGCAAGGCCCCCATGATTGTACACATCGCAGGGGTTTTCAGTGTTGTCCTGTACCCCCCTTGTTATTTTTGGGTTTCTTCACCGGTTAGCAACACCTTGCCAGGGTTTCCCGTAGTTGTTACCCTAGGGGCCCTGGAAACCCCTGTTGGGGCTCAGTGGACCATTGAATGTGTCTTCCGGGTTCCAACCCATCTTGTACGGGATCGTTGGTTGCTGTGCCCTTGTCTCCGGGTGACAGTCACCACTTTTACATCCGTCATGTTACTTGTTGGGTCACTGACACCTTGACCCGGAGTCTTGCGAGAGATATTCTTTGCTTGTTCTCCAGTACTCTCCTGATGTTATTCCTGTTCAGGGTACTGGCGACATCCGTGTTGCAAGCTAGGTTAGGTTGCTGCAACATGCTTGGTTGGTTTCCCACTCGGATGCCCCGGGGCCGCCCCGCCCTGTTTTGGTTAGGTGCTGTTCGCCCTTTTTCCTCCCTGTTCCTGGCTCAGGACCATTTGCGAGTTTCAGGGTCGGGGCAGGGTTCAGTTGGGGCTGAGACTCGGATGGTTTTCAGGGGCTTCCCCGGTCAGGTTGGGGACGGAGGTTTTCGAGCCTGTTCCTCCTGTCAAGGCTTCTGGGTCTTACCAGCGGCTCTTTCTTGCGGCCTTTCCCATGGACTCTTCCATTTCTTTAAGAGCGGAGGTGTTGGAGGACGGCTCTGCCCCGGGGGCCTCTGTTGCGGGTTCCCGGGGCAGTGGGGGATGTCTGCTAGCAGTTCTGGGGCGGTTTGCCCCTGCCTGGGTTTTCTGCTTCTGGGCGGAGTTTTTCGCCTATCCAGTCTGCTTGCTTCCCACTTTTGCTGGCGTGTTTTCATATCTTTTGTGTCGGTCATAGCCCTCTGTTCTGGTGGCCATTTTCTTCTGCTGGTTTCCCGGCGTGGCCACCAGGGCAGAATTGTGGTTTGTTTACATGCGCCTGGGTGTGCGAGTGAGCGTCTTGGGTGAGTTTTTCACCTTTTTCAGGGGTTTTATTCTCCTGTTGTCGTTTCTTTGCTTCTCTCGTGTTTTCTGCCCCCTCTGGGAACGTTTGAGTGTTGATTTTACACTGGGTTTTCCATTTTGTTTGTTTTGGGTCTGGGCCCTTGGGTTTGGGCTCAGTGTCCCTGCCTGTTGTGCTTGCTCCCACACCTTGTCCCTCGGTTTTCAATTTGTTTTGACCTTTTCCCTGGGGGTTCTGTCTGGGGGCTGTGCTTTGCCTTTCTGTGGTGTATCTCTGCCAGCAAATGTGGTGGTTTGGGCTCCCCCTGGTTCGATTCCGGGTTCCTTTGGGTTCTTTGGTTTCGTTCCGGAGATTTCTTCCTCTTGGGCCCCCTTTGTGGGTTCACGGGCTTTGTTTCCTCGTTTGAGACCCGGATCTGCCTTCTGGGGTTCCGGCGTCTTCCTGGCTTGCAGACTGATCTTTTTGGGTCTTGGCACGTGTTGTGGTCGTGCTGGGACTTTGGGGTTTTGTTGTCGAGGTCGGCCTTTTGATGCAGTTTTTGTGCCCTCTTCGCCTGGCCGGCGTGGTGCTCTCTGCCCACTGGTCGGCGGCTTGTAATTTTCTTTTGCACGTGTATGTGTGTGTGTACACATGTACATGTACATGTGTACACTGTGTGTGTGCGCATATGTGTGTGCATACGCACGTGTGTGTAACATACCTTGTGTGTATGTGTATGTGTGTATATATATATATATATATATATATATATATATATATATATATATATATATATATATATATATATAATATATATATATATATATATATATGTCGTACCTAGTAGCCAGAACGCACTTCTCAGCCTACTATGCAAGGCCCAGTTTGCCTAATAAGCCAAGTTTTCATGAATTAATTGTTTTTCGACTACCTAACCTACCTAACCTAACCTAACCTAGCTTTTTCGGCTACCTAACCTAACCTAACCTATAAAGATAGGTTAGGTTAGGTTAGGTAGGGTTGGTTAGGTTCGGTCATATATCGACGTAAATTTGAACTCCAATAAAAAAAAATTGACCTCATACATAATGAAACGGGTAGCTTTATCATTTCATAAGAAAAAAATTAGAGAAGATATATTAATTCAGGAAAACTTGGCTTATTAGGCAAATCGGGCCTCGAATAGTAGGCGTAAAAGTGCATTCTGGCTACTAGGTAATATATATATATATATATATATATATATATATATATATATATATATATATAATGTATGTATGTATGTGTATGAGTATATACATAATATATATGTATATATGTGTATGTATACATTTTCTTTCGGAAGGGGCTCTGTTCCCTTCTCTGTTGAAAGGGTGCTGGGAAGCAGCTTCCTCTGCTGACTCTCGCATGGTCCCACAGTTAGTGGGCGCTTTTGGTTGTTGGAAGCCGTCCACCGCCTCTGATGGCGGCGGTAGACGGCTTCTCCCCCTTTAGGGGGTTCAGGGCTGGCAGGGTTGATTCTTCCCCTGCACTTCGTCGTGTCATCTTCGTGGATGCATTGAACGTGGTCAATCCGCCTAATTCTTCTGGGGTTCCTGTCAGCTCTATGCAGACATGGGCCTGTCGAATGTGCGGTTCTTCTGGATTTCTTCAGTCAGCACCCTGGATTCTATGCCCTCATCGGAGGACTGTTGTCTCCTGTCCGGCTTCTGTTTGGGGCCGGGTGCCTGGATGGTGGCCCTGGAACTCCAGGTCAATTCTTGGCACGATCCTCTCCAGTTTTCCGGGACTGGCACAGTTGGTGGTGGGGCTTCAGGCTTACCGCTTTTGTTGCCTTCCCTATTTTGTAATTGGCACTTGGTGTATTTACGCATCTTTGCCGGATCTTGGTGCCCTGTCTGAGTCTGCTTGGGTTTCGATGTCTGGCCTACCTCGACTACTGGCTGGTGTGGACTCCCAGTCGGTCCACTTGTCTGCTCGCCAGGGGTGTGGTTCTTTCCAGATCGCCGGGTTTAGTTTCCTGGTGATGGAGGCCGTTCCATCTGTTTCTGTCCTGGGTTCGGACCTGGCTGGGTCTTGTTTAGGGCTCATTGGCCGCTACTTGTCTTTCCCTCCAGAAGTGTTGCTGCGTCTGTGGTCCCGCCTTTGGCTGTTCATGAGGGAGTCCTGGGTTGCTCGGCGGTTGCTCGAGTGGTTGTGCGGGAGTCTGAACTTCGACGTGCTGGTCTGCCCGCGGGGTCGGGTTTGTCTTCGGCGTCTGTTTGGTTA